GGCCCCACTGATGTGAAAGTCTCAATGGAAAATACTATAGTGTCCTCAAACTGGCCATGGTCACCAAGACAAAAATGAAAATAAATACAATTAATTATGACACTGAAAATACATATTTCAAGAAGGTAATAGGCTATATTGTTAAGACTTCTGAAGGCACTCAATGCCAACCTAGTACACAAGCATTGTAACAAGTAACCAGAGTAGTGGTGCACCCACTGTCTAACTGATAAATGACTATTGCTACAAGACCGCACCGGAGGGACGACTGGTGATCAATTTTTTCAGGAAGGTAAGTGGAAGCTAGCTAGCTAAGATGCAAATGTATGATCATTAAATATCCTTGTGAGCTACTTCTAGCTTGTTATTCTACGTTGTATCAACCAACTCTTTAAAATGTTTGGTGTTTGCACAAACAGTAGCTACCTTGCTAACTAGAGAACCAGTTCTACTCTCCTGCTAGCTAACAGGCTACAAGTACCAACGCTAACTAGATACACTATATGTACACACACAAAAGTATGTGGACACCCCTTCAAATTAGTGGATTCGGCTTTTTCAGCCACACCCGTTGCTAACAGGTGTATAAAATCGAGCACACAGCCATGCAATCGCCATAGACAAAACATTGGAAGTAGAATGGCCTTACTGAAGAGCTCAGTGACTACCAATGTGGCAGTCATAGTATGCCACCTTTCCAACAAGTCAGTTAGTCAAATTTCTGCCCTGCTAGAGTTGCCCCGGACAACTGTAAATGCTGTTATTGTGAAGTGGAAAGGTCTAGGAGCAACAACGGCTCAGCCGTGAAGTGGTAGGCCACATAAGCTCACAGAACAGAACCACCCAGTGCTGAAGCACGTAAAAATCTGGAAGTGCTGAAGCGCGTAAAAATCTGGAAGCAATGTCAGCACAATAACTGTTCGTCGGGAGCTTCATGAAATGGGTTTCCATGGCCGAGCAGCCACACACAAGCCTAAGATCACCATGCGCAATGCCAAGTGTCAGCTGGAGTGGTGTAAAGCTCGCCGCCATTGGACTCTGGAGCAGTGGAATCACGCTTCACCATCTGGCAGTCCGACCGACAAATCTGGGTTTGGCGGATGCCGGCAGAACGTTACCTGCCCCAATGCATAGTGCCAACTGTAAAGTTTGGTGGAGGAGGAATAATTATCTGGGGCTGTTTTTCATGGTTCGGGCTTAGTTCCAGTGAAGGGAATGCTTAACACTACAGCATACAGAACTTCTAGACGATTCTGTGCTTCCAACTTTGTGGCAACAGTTTGGGGAAGGCCCTTTCCTGTTTCAGCATTAAATGCCCCGTGCAAAAAACAAGGTCCATACAGAAATGGCTTGTCGAGATCAGTGTGTTAGAACTTGACTGGCCTGCACACAGCCCGGACCTCAACCCCATCAAACACCTTTGGGATGAATTGGAACGCTGACAGAGCCAGGGATAATCGACCAACCTCACTAATGCTCGTGGCTGAATGGAAGCAAGTCCCAACATCTAGTGGAACGCCTTCCCAGAAAAGGGGGGAGGGGGGACCAACTCCATATTAATACACATGATTTTAGAATGAGATGTTCGACGAGCAGCTGTCCACATACTTTTGGTAATGTAGTGTACGTCGTTTGACGGCTGTCGGAATCTGGGATTAATGTTAGTAAACTAGCTAACGTTAGCTAGTAGTCATTTTCAGTCGGTCTTAAAATATCCCTTTTACTGCATTATACCATTATATTTGCAGACAAGACAACCTAGTTAGGCGAACCCACAGACATTCAATTATTCACCATTGACACACGAAACCAGGAGAAGGCTAGCTAACTCGGCTAACATTACCTTATCAGAGTCGAGGTCGGGGTCAGCCTGGCTCAGTCGATACAGAAATGATTTCGGATCTCGGCACAGCGTCTGTCGTGTCGTTAAGAAATACGTTCCCCCCACGTTCAAGCGAACCCATTTGGATACCCCGTTACTGGTTGCCTGGGTTTTTTCCCCGGGCGAATGAGTCAAACATCTCCGATAAACGGAACCACAAGTATCGGAGCTGTTTTCTGCCATCCCCTCTTCTCCGCCCTCTGGTATGACTGGGTGAGGCTGTTGACAGGACGCTTTTCCTCTCCAGTAGGCTCCACGCCATGCACAGGGCTGCGTTCAGTACGAAAAAACGTAATGTAACGTAAACGGTGCTGTTCTGAACGACCAGTAAAAAAACAGGAGGGGATGGGTTGTGGATTCAAAATGCACCGCTGCCCGTTTAATAAGTCACAGCAACCAAACGGCGCAAACGTACCTCATAGTCCAGGGGTGTCAAACTCACCACGGAGGGCCGTGTTTCTCCTTTCAATCAAGACCTAGACTACCAGGTGAGGGGAGTTCCTTACTAATAATCAAGTACAAGGGTGGAGCGAACACCTGCAGACACTCGGCCCTCTGTGGAATGAGTTTAATACGTGTCAGTCTGTTCAAGACATGAGCAGCTGTAACAAAAAAAAAACGGCTTCAAGAACGTTGAACGTATTGGGGGGGACCGTGTCGTTCAGTACAAGCAGTTACGGAACGTAGCAAACGTTTAATCGAACTGAACGCACCCCAGGCGATACCACTCCTTTTCCTCCAACTACTAGCGGCCTACCACTCCACATAATAGCGTATATGCAGTGAGCAAAGGGCAGAATAATTTCAAACATATCTCCGAAATACATAACATCATATTTCACACCTATCATATTTCTATTGTAAAAAAAAAAAATGTACACAATATATTATTGAAATCAGGATACAGTAGACCTTATATTGAACAGCTATGTTGGAATGGAAACATTTTCTTTGAAGCCTTTATATTGTATCAATTTAACACTGCAGAAAACGGATGACATATACATTTGTAATGTTTCAGCAGTCGTGTATTATGTCAGGTTGTAACAGACGACAAGAGGCATTGTATTATTGTATGCCTAAATCCCTACATGCTTTAATTACTGGACTACCAAGCATTACGTGGAAAATTCATCATTCAACAACTACTGACCTAGCGCACAAATAATCAGAGAGAGAATGAACAGATTCATTAAATTATCAGAAATGATTAAATTACTGAGCACATAGAAAATGTATATGATATAGTAAGAAAAAAGCTGTAAAATATTATAGTTTACAATAATTATTCACATTCAAAGGCTTTACATCTCAATACATACACAACATGGCCCCTGAACATGACTTCAATCCAAATATGATTCATATATTAGAATTTAAATAACACAGAATGAACTAGAGGCTAAACAATAGCCATCAAATAACCTTATACAAGAATAAAAATACAAAAACTGTATCCTAATATCATTGCATTTCTTGCTTCAGATTTCAATAATACATTGTCTGTACATCACAGTTCTAGTCGGTTACAAACCAGGTAGAGTATTACATACACAATGTAACCGACTGCCGCCCAACTTGATAAAAAAAAAAAAAATGTCTAGCAAGAGAAGCAAACACGTTCTATAGTGTTTCCTTACTTTAGAGATAGATACAGCAATTTCATCTCTTATTTGGATCAGATACCCTTTAGCTGACATCAAAGCACGTTCAGCCCAAACCAGAGGCCCGCGGCTACTATTCACTCGCTCCAGTCACAAAAGGCAAATCAATCGCTTGATACATGGGCCATAATTGGGCCAGGTATGTTGTAGAAAAACCATAGGGACACTCCCAATTAACCTTGATAACCCAAACAAGGCAAAGCTGCCAACTTGCCCTGGGACTACAGATTTACTGTGATTGCTTCCAAGAAATGATAGTATAGTATTATGGATGTAACGCTCTGTTGATGCTTTCCTTATCGCCAAAGCTGTTCAACGTGGTGGTCAGCATTAGATTTAGTTTTAAACAGGCCATACTGAAGATGAACCGACAATCCCACCCCCAAAAAACTAAAAGTATTCAAACCACAAAGAAATAGCCAGTGAATGGTAAAGAACTGCCAAATAATTCAATAATATTAGCCAGGGTTGCCAATGCAGTCAAAATACCCATCTTAACTTTAATAAAACTACATCTCCAGTGCCCTGGGAGAAAAGCAGACTAGGCTGAGCTACAAAACTGGCCGTGCAGGAAAGCTAAGCGGGTCTTATGATGAAAGAGTACAAGCTAGTGGCATGTTCACCCACCCCCTATTGGCAATGCAATGGTCTACTATTAGGGACTGTCCGCACAGTCTCAGTCTATGGAGAACCAATGCAGAAGCACAGAGCTATTCACAGCTACACCTCACTTTGGGGACCAGCGCTCCACTCCGAAACATTAACCTACAGACCCAAACTGAACTGTAATCATGAAGTACCCAAGAGCCTTGAAAACCAATTAAAATATTATACTCTGTGGACAATGAGGGTCAGACTAAAAATATAGTTTATTTGGTTAGTGCATGGTTGCAGTGCGATACTGAACCAGGCAATAGTCTGCTCTAAGTATGGAGTATGTGTGTGAAGTTCAGGTCTGATTACAGAGGCATACAATGTTGGATTTGGATCTAGTTTGAGTATCATACTGTGTTGGGATAGGCTCTGATATACAAGTGATGCTGGATTGTGTTTTGTTGTGGTTGAACAAGGAAACCAGTCCTTGCACTGAGATGGTCCTAATGGTACCTACACCGGTGGAATTATAGAGACAAGCCTGTCCTCTCCCTTTCCCCTGCAGAATATACAAGATGCCGATGTGCATGGAAGCCGTCTCATCATCCACACATGGAAAAATTCATTTAGAAGCCTCACAGAGAGCACAAAGAACAAGCAAAGCAAACCTTAAATCCCATGGTCTTTTTTTCCTATTGGTTCTGCTTATTTCAGAGAAGGAAAATAAACAAGGTCTAGATGCCATAGTCTCTAAAATAGTTTTTTTACATTGCGGTGAAGGGCACTAAGGAGGGTGTCACTCTGCTCCGTGATTGGCCTCAGCGCTAGGAGGAAGGAGTGGCGCAGGAGGAACTGCTCTCCTATAGGCCAGGATTTTGGTGCTTGTGATAGATCTTTCTCCACACCTCCTGGATCTTCTTACACCACTTGTCAGCATTTCCACTGGGATCCATCAGATAGTATGTTCGATTGGGCTGTAAATAAATCCCAACAAAGATCAAAATAAAAAAAACATCCAAAGCTGAGAAAGTCGATATTGTCAAAAACAAAAAACAAACAAAAAAAGAGGCCAGGGTTTGTGATAATGTCAGTTTGAAGCTACAAACTTTCTTTTTGCCAATATTTTCTACAGTCATTACAGTGTCATCAATAAGCGTTAATTTCATTTAACATTTACCGTGTGGACAAAGAAGGTCTTAAAGTTCTTGGCCTCTGGACGCAGCTCGGGGGACCAGGGGATCTCCCCCTTCAGGACCTTGTTGACAGGGTCCACGTAGTAAAGGTGTGGCCCTTCAGTGAGGAGCAGCTGCCTCCTCCGCGCAAACAGGCCCTGCAATGGAGTCATGAAACATGGCATGAGATTACCACCAGAGGGGGCTAGTTCCAAGAGTGTGGCATTCCCCTTCGCTGCTGACCTAGAATCGGCTTTCTCCAGCTCTAACAAGTGAAACTACACAAACATTGATCCTCATTGTCAACAACTAAACATTTGGTAAGTTCAAAGTGACAACACTTATGAACTTATTTACTTTGAAAACTCTGAGATGTGATGTAAAGTTTGGCTTCCACTCACCTTCCGTTTATCCACTGGGCCCATTTTCAAGATCAAATTATTCTCGACAAACTGGTGCCTGTGTAAGCCAGTAATAGTAAGGGTTATGAGCAAGTACTTCCAAGCAAATAAAAGCAATGTAAACAAAAAGTCCTTACAAAACATGTAAAACTATCAATGTACATTCCAACGTCAAATGTTCATGATCAAACCGAATGACATTATTTTTTACTAGGACAGAGTTCCTCAGTGGGGCTCACCAGGGGTTCCCACTGGTCTGTTTGTCCAGCAGCAGCTGTTTCTCCTCCTCGGAGAACAGCAGGTCCAGCTCAAACGAGTTGTTGTCCAGGTCGTGGATGTACTGCTCAATGTTGCTGCTGGACCTCTGTGGCGCTGGGGGAATGGTCTCAGGCGTGGAGAGCGAGTGGGACGAGCTGGACTGGGCCACCTGCATGCCGCTGAACTGGCTCAGGAGGTCGTCGTACTGTGGAAACACAGGAGATGGGGGCAGAACGTGGTTAGTTGGATTATAACATGGGCTTTTGCATGGCACAAATATATGGATTCAATGAATGAACAGGATTCTTTCAAAAAAATCACCACAAGCCAATAAGACATGGTGGCCCAGTTTCATGTTGCCAAGTTCTATGTATGGGTGGAAGTGTCTCACGTTTCCATAGCAGTCTTCGTCATCCTCAGACATGGCTGGCAGGTAGGGGGTGAGCTTGGGTGGCGTCTGCACATGGAGGTCTCCCCAGGAGATGGTCTCGAAGAACGGGTGTCCCCTCAGGGGGTCGTACCCTCCCATCTCCTCGCAACCGATTCTCTTGGAGGGGTCCAGAGACTGAGAGAAACAGAATCATGTTAATACACACACACTGACCCATAGCCTTCAAATCAAATCTTACTACAATTTATTAAACCAGTCTGTGGATGATCGAGAGATGCACCATAACATGTTGTAGAATCCTATTCTGCAGTGCTCGTATTACAGAATTACATTGAGTATATTGATGAAAACAAGACCTACCAAAAGCTGTTCAACAAGATCTTTCGCTTTGGGGAAGAACTTCTCCGGGAATTCATACTCCAGCTTGATTATCTTCTGGAATATTAGGTACTCGTTTCTGGCCAGAGGTAAGCACAGAAGTCAGGGGGGGGGGTAGCCAGAGAAAGGACAGTTTGAAGTAGATGTAAGAGAAACCCCACAAAACATAATATCCAGATTATCTTATCACAAGTTTAGTATAAGCCTAAAACAAAAAAGGTGAAAGAGGCCGCAAGCAGACATGGTGCTCTACTTACCCAGCTCTGAATGGTGGTAGCCCAGCCACTAGCTGATAGACTATGCATCCCAAGGCCCAGAGGTCAGAGCTGAAACACACAACCAGTTGATATCAATATAATATCCTATCGGGTAAGGACAGACATTCACTAACTGCATGGGAAAACAATGCATTGGCACAACACTGCAAAGGAGTAGAAGAAAACCCAGTGAGTTGTGAGAGGTACTCAGTGTTTGAATCCCAGTTACCTCTTGCAGGCAGATTTCTCTGTCAGCAGCTCTGGAGACACGTACTGCGCAGTTCCTACAAAGGAGTTCGCTCTCGCTGCAAAACAATAAGGGGGTATGAATCAGACAACACACCTGATGTGACTGATCAAAACTGTAAAGAGAACAAATTTGGGTATTAAAGTAAGAACATAAAATTGGGGATGTTCAGGGAGCAATAAATGGCAATGATTGCTTCATGTTGATAAAAGTATATACACATCTACCTTGTTTGCTATCTGAAGATAACTGCTTTGCTGTTCCAAAGTCTGTTATTTGGATATGCATGTCTTCGCTCAGTAAAATATTCTCAGGTTTAAGGTCTCTGAAAGACAAAAGAAACAAATGCGAGGGAACCTAGTCAACCTACATTTTCAATAACAGAATATGGCATAGCAAGAAGGGCTCATTTGTGTAAACAGTGGCAGCAAGTTTAAAAGTAGAGTTAGTCACACAAATATTGTACATTTCATGTTAAAATTGATTATATAAATTGAATTAGAATATCCAGCAACATATGACAGGCTTACCGGTTCAGACATTTCTTACCTGTGAATAATCCCCTTCTCATGCAAATATTCTAGCGCGCAAACAATTTCCGCCGAGTAGAATCTAGTACAGGTCTCATCAAAAGAACCGATTTTGCGAATATATTTCAAAAGCTCTCCATTCTTAGCATAGCTAAGGCCAAAATCTGAGAGCAAGTTGTTAAGGAAAACGACACGTCAAAGGAACACAAACAAGAGACAAAACATTTTTAAAAATCATACAAAGACTAGATAAGTTGCTAAACAAGTCGGTGATGCAGCCAGGCTCCGAGTCATCGTGGTCTCTTCTTATTAAAGGATACACAACTTTTCATCATCTTGAAATGTAAAGTAGAGTTTGACGAAGAATGGGTGATCTAGGTTTGACATCACATCCCTTTCTCGTTTGACGTACTGTGCCTTGTTCTCCTTCATAATTTGCCGCTTCTCCAAAATTTTTACTGGAAGAGAGAAAAGTTAGCAGTGACGTTGAGGGTAAACACAGCACAAAAGAAAACACGATAAGCAGAAACTTTGCACTTTTGACAATCCTTAAAAAGCTGACAAAATACCATTGAAGAGAAACAGGTATTACACATGGAAGCGGAGTTCGAATCAAATGGCTACATTTCAACTTACTTGCATATTCTTTTGCCGTTGCCTGTTCTCTTGCAAGGACAACCTAGAGAGAAAAATATACATTGTTTGAAGAAAATATCATATTTCTACAACTTAAGCAGTAGACCACTTCATCACCATAGTAAATGAGGTGCCAGGCTAATTTAAAACCCATTGAAACTACTCAGCCATTCCTGTACAATTAGCATGAATTGAAGATGAGTCACTGGAGTATATGACCACAAGAATGCGTGCATGTAACAACATCTATCTGGGACTAATTCGTAAGTAAAATGGAATGCTGCTACGTACGGTTGAGAACGAGCCCTCTCCCAGGATCTTGCCGAATTTGAAGTCCTCTGGCCTCTTTTTGCGTGGCTGAGGGGCCTGCTGCGGCCGGAGCTCGGAGCCCTGGCTGGCAGGCTTGCCCGGAGCCCGGGACTCGGAGGTGGGGCCATCCATGCTAGGACAGTGGCTGCTACTTGCGCCTGGGATAGCAAGTGGCGAGCAGGAGTCGGGCTGATTTCTTACCATTGATGGATGTGGGCAGGTACAGATGACAACGCTGGATTGAATGGGCACAACATCATACTGTATGGGAGAGAGAGGAGAAAGGGGCGACATTAGGTGACGTTACTACAACATGGGCATGATTGTCTGTCTAGACTTGGGGCCATCTAAATCATCACGTTTTTTTGCTCAATCATTTTCAGTTAAGTCTGAGAATGAACAGCGTTTTCCTGCCAAGAGTACTTGTGAACAGAGTGCAAACCAATTTTATATGTATAATCACGTGAACATGTCAGCAGTCAGAAGTCAACAGTGCAGTGAACGAGCGGTAGATCAATGCGAGATCCACATTCGGTGCAATGTGTGTAGTGTAAAGGGTAATGTGGATAGCGCTAAATTGAAATGTTTCTTACAGAAGTAATATGGAATGCATATGCATAACCATGGTAGCAATTAAAAGGGAACCGTTTAGAGATAATGGAACATTTGACTAAAAGTGAGTACACAACCGTTCATCTGATAAGACTCCAAACATTACACTTGATTTTATGTGCATTTTACATTTAACTGTACTTTGTGCTGCATTTGTTGATAACAAAATCTGAAAATACTCTATATACATTCAGTAACATGATAAGAATAATGCCCTCATAGCTGTGCCGTTGAGGAACTAGAGCAAGCACACTTGTAGTTGTTTTGTTTGGAACACAACCCTGCATCCCCTACATCACACAATTACTGTTGTTTACGCAATCCAAAAACGGTCCATTAGAAATCGCAATCTGGGTAAGGTGGCATCATTTGAAAGCTAGTTCTACTGCCAACATTGTAAAATATTATCTTAGTGTTAGGCTTTCACAAGGCAATTCATAGAAGCAGATTGTAATTTTGGTGCGCATAGAATGGGAGTCCTGAGTGCATTCAGATGTGTGGTCCAAGGCAAATTTTCTTCACAATGTCATCTTGTAACTGTCCATCAAACAGATCAGAAACATTGCCACTGTATAATGCATGAGTTTTATGATATAAAAATGTGAAATGCACATTTGGACTCATGGGTGTTTGGCTTGCTTGTATGACATCAAAGCGGTATTTATTATAATCCTCAACCTCTCATCATTCCAAATACATCGACTCCTCTTAATTTACAGCATCTCCCTCACTCAGACAAAAAATGGGCAACCGTTTCCAATATGAGGGAGGGATGGAGCGCGTGCAGTGCTCAAGTTCAGAACGGCTGTCAGTCAAAACCCATACAGCGCTGTGAAGCGCAGACCCTGAGCTCTGACGTCATGTATAGCATATCTTACTGTACAGCCAATTTAGGCACAAATCTGCCATTTTCAACCTGTATACGGGCACGAGTGTAAAGGGCTACGCTATGCCATGTTCAGTCACAGTTCTTTAAGAGTGTAGGTGTAAACAAAAACAGCTCAAACTCTGTTCTCTGGAGGGTCTGAGGGCCCCATGAGGAGGCAGGCTAACTCAACCTAGACATGTGTGGGAAAGCACGCTGTCGTAGCCGGCCGCGACCGGGAGACCCATGGGGTGGCGCACAATTGGCCCAGCGTTGTCCAGGGTAGGGGAGGGAATGGCCGGCAGGGATGTAGCTCAGTTGGTAGAGCATGGCGTTTGCAACGCCAGGGTTGTGGGTTCGATTCCCACGGGGAGTATAAAAAATAATGTATGCACTAACTGTAAGTCGCTCTGGATAAGAGCGTCTGCTAAATGACTAAAATGTAAATGTACCAAACTCAACATGTGCATGAGGGAATCTAATAAAGACATGTTACTTTAATCCCCACTGTCAGAGGATAGGATTCCCTTTGCACTTTTGAGTCATGATTCGTGTCGTTTCTATACATTTTGTCATGTCTGGGAGACAGGTTGGCTCGGTGTTTGAAAATTAACACAGCACTGTCTCTCTTGATGATAGCTGGCAGGGCTCACAGCCCAAGTAGGCACACAGGTGAAAAGCATTATGTTCTATTTACTACCTAGGGCACGTTCCACTCCAGACATGCTTAGTTGAGGATGAGGCAAAAACTTAAATGCAAAAAAAAAGGACATTAAATTTAACAACGTGGACATTCAGCCTTGAATCATCTAGCTATTTAGGTCATCATGGTCAGTAAGTGACCTCATAACTTATGCTCACTATGGGGCAATTTAATCACTGGGGTGGAGATTAATCTAGTGGGCAATGTGAAGTAGATAAACTCCCGAGTCCCGACCCAACCCTTTCCCTGGAAGAAAAATCCCAGTTATGTCCTCCAGTGAGAGACGTCAAATGATTGACACCAAATGCTTATACGATTAAATTCAAGACAAGATTATAACTAAATTGATTGACTGGTGCTCAAAAACCAATTATATAATGTGGTGCATTTTCCTTAGCAAATAGCCAACTAGCATCCCGCCTACCATCCTGTCAGTAACTAGCTAGCTAATGCTAACAAGCAAATTAGCATTGGCTAACAGCTTGTGAATGTGAGCGAGGACGCCCAACGGTCGTTTCATTTAGTAAGCAAGCATCACGAATGATTAGGAAGCAAGTTCCTCTTTTAAAATGACAAACGTACAAGCACGATCTAAAGACCTAACGTTACCACAGGCCAAAGGAAAAGCTTTAGATTCTGTAAATATCCACTTCCAAAATGTTACTGAGTTAACTAGCGAAAGTTAGCTTGCTACCCAGTGTAGGCCTGGGAAATGAGAAGCTAGCTAGTTTGTTCAACTAGTTAAGCAGTTTAACAAAAGGGAGACATTATGATTATTTGTCGAACACGGTCAAGTGAAATCTCGAGCGGTAGTAGCTTGTCAACCGCGACCCACAACAAGGTGTGGCCAGATAGGTAGTTTGCCGATGGATAAGGAACCAAACGTTACATCGTGTTGATTAGGTTATGTAGCTAGGATGCACCTTTACAGGAAAGTCTGTCTGCTAACGTTACCAACTAGTTTGTTAGCATCATCGGCTAATTCTAGAGCTGACGCTTCAGGTATTCAACAACAAGTTAGCTTACTATCTAGTTAACTAGTGATTAGAGTAAGTTGACACAGCTATCTAGATATCAAGTTACTTTCCAAATAGCTAGCTATAGTGGGCAAGCGCTAACGTTAGCCATTTTAAAATCTAAATATGGAAAACATGAACTAGTTCACAATCTCTTTCACATGGTAGCAACGGTTTGCTAACGTTAGTGTTGGATAGTCAGTTAGCGAACTAGAAACTTTACGTTAGGCGTAACTTAGCTAGTTAACCGCCAAGTTGGCTGGCTGGCTAACGACCTGGAATTCCACTCACTAAAAGTAAAGCGAGCTAGCATGCTAACTGGTTGCTAGATAACTACATTGCCAGACTAGCTCATTTAGCCAACCGAATAGACAAAAGTATCCACATAGTTAGCTACTACATTTCAAAAAATGTAAAACTACCTAGCTATAATATTAAGTTAAGTGAATGTTCCTATTTGCTAACCAAACCAACATTCTACGTTAGTAATCAAGCTAGCCAAAAACATTTAGACTAGAAGAAGTCGAAACGACTTAGCTAGCTAACTCGCTATTTGCACCTCGGTGAACTTGAAGTGAAAAAAATGTTTGAAAACGTAACGTTAGCTAGCTACGGCAAATGGTTGGACCGCGTCCCTGTGCCGTTAGTTATTATTTATCCCACAACAATTTTCGCAAAATCGAGGAGATTGAAATACTGCTAGCTAACTAGTTTAATTAAACTGCAATTTTCGTCCTCATGCTAGGCTAGCTAATGCAGCCCATTGGCATTGGATTCCATGAAAATTTGAAATAGCATTGGCTACCTAACTAGTATGAGGACGAAAAACGCAGTTAAAGCGACACTTTCCATCCCTGGATTGAGGTAACTACGTTTTCAAACCATTTCACATGAAGTTCACCGAGGTGCAAATATATTGGCATATGGTCGTTTCGACTATTCCTTGTAGCTGGTCGAAATGTTTTGGCTAGCTAGCAAATGCGTTAACTAGTCAGAGGTCCTCTTACCGCTGTTTGAAATGAGGGCCTAACATATCGAAAATGTTGTCAAACTGCCGCCATACAATACATATTGAGCAACGGCTTCGAATTGAAGTTCGGATGAAAGATCCAATACTCACTATTTGACTTGTAGCTCTTGCCATGGAAGTTTTCCGCGAGTATTTATTTGGAATAAAATAATTACAGAACCTCCATTAATGGCTGCCTCTGCGCCTTCATTTTCCAGCTGTGACGTCGTTCCACAACAATGTTACCGCAAAGACAGAAGATGATAGGCCTACGTCCCTGTATCCGCCCCCTTCACAGCGTTTCGACTGAACTTCATCAATATGAAGACCGCGACCGTCGTTTCAGGAAAAGTTCCAAAACGTCTTGCTAAAGCCTATTTCAAAGCGCCTTTGCATTGCATAACTAATCATCAGCAGCATACAAAACACGTATATATTATAATAATAGGCCTTTACTGTATATAGTTTTCACACTAGCTCCTCCATGTCATGGTCTTCTCTTTCAAATGTTTGAGACTTAGTATGTCCAAGTACAACCCATGTTCAAATATATTTTCTACCACCCACACACTTAAATGTTCTTACTCGATATCTTATCTTTGCCGTGGTGGGGGGGGGGGGGGGGGGGGGGAGCCCTGACCGAGACTCGAACCCGCGTCCTGTGACTGTCAAGCTAACACCTTAACTGTTACGGATCTCGTCGAGGTGGCTACATTATCCCCTTCCTTCGGGAGAACGTGTCACAACGCTTCTCTATAACACAATTCCTCACGTGTACACACCTCTCCGATGGCCCCACGGCTGCCCTCCCACTTCTGACACCAGTGTAGCGAATTCAGGGTATAGCCGTGACCGGGACTCGATCCCAGGTTCAGCGACTGTAAAGCCAACACCTTAACCGTTACACCTGACGAGGTCACTACATTTTGTGTTAAATTCGCTACAATATCACAAAAAAAAAATCACTCACATAATTGACACATACACATGGATTAAGAGGCCTAATTGCATTACATTCAATTCAATGTAATACTCGTCAATTCAATTTACTGAATTAAGAATGTATAGACACTGAGTAAGGTTACATGCACACAATATGATTATTGTTGATAGATTAATATAATAGTTCGCTGAAAATGTTAACATGCTTTGCAAGAAGAAAGATTTCCCTAATAATCCTGTTTACATGGAAACATCTGAAATCAGTCTACTTGATGGGAAATAAATGCAGAACATCGCCAATCAAAATAAACATTCTACCACAGCGACCATGTTATTTTTGCGAAGCCTACTTGATTCTAAGTTCGGACATATAACATTTGTATGTGAAAAATATTTCCAAGATGTATAGCCTACTTTCAGTTTTTCCAAACTCACTTCACTCCTGCAAGAGCGAGGCTTGAGCTACCAGTGCTGGCAATTCAAATACACCGCTGGAACGCGGATTACGCTGTTTACGTCCTAATAATTCGAAAAATGTATCAGAACACCAGGTGTTTTAATCGGCGTATGCTTACTTCGATTACGATAATCAGAGTAAAGTGTTTACATACCTATTGCCATATGCAGACAACTTCTGTTTACATGTCCTAATAATTCGAAAGACTGATCAGAAAACCAGGTGTTTTAATCGGCGTATGCCAACTTCAATTAAGATAAATGGCCTACTGCCATACTCGGACAACTGCCATAAACCGTTTAATATCGAATTAGTGTGCAGGTAAATGTACACCATGTTAAGTAAACAAAGGGCCTCAATTTCACATAGTGAATCAGTCTTGCCATTCTCCTCAAAGTCCTCAGTACATTCACATTTTTCATTGCACTTTTGATGACTCTCCTGGCTCTTCCTCCTCATCTCCAGTTTTTCTCTCCTTTCCCCCTTCTTCCTCTTCCTCTTCCTCTTCGAAATCATCGTCATCATCATTTTCTGATGTCCCAGAACTTCCAGCTTCCTCACCATCACTCTCTGTATCATCCTCTTCCTCAGCAACACTAAACAAAGATGATATGCAATACCATTTACCAACATAGTTGTCACAACAAATGTGAGACTGAAATTAATTAAATATATTATGATTTTCAATGCAATATAAAGCAACGTGTCTTTATTACCGACGGGGTCTGTTAAGATTCATGGATTCTCTCCCTGAATCAACATCGAATGGATCTGCAAAGACAATGGATTAGACATTTTTGGTTCAAGACAGTGTCTGAAGAAATACACAAACACTCAAAGTAAAATATGTTAAAGGCTAAGCTTTCTATGACATCTATAGTGCTCTTCCCTCCGAAGGCATACCACGGTTTTCTTAACACCTTCTTGTATGGCTAACCATTCACCCCTTACTCAACTCCAGATATTTCCTGGGATTTGGCCCAAAACTTCTCTTACAGTAACTTACCAAACTCCTCTTTCTCAGGAGGGGTGTTAAGGTACTCTTTCTCCACAGCCAGCAGCTCCTCCTCTGACTGACAAGCTGCATAGCGCTCCAGCAGAGTCTTGTTCAGATCCAGAAACACAGTCCCCCACTTAAACTTCCTTAGCAGAATCACGGCCAGGTCCCGGAAACCTGCATTTCAGACATGTTAATTCATGACACTGCCAACACTACTAAGGTAATCTGATGGTAAAACCAATTAAATTGTATAGATGGGCATTTGTGTCAAATCTTCTATTCAGGTAAATGCGATACGACACCACAGGTTATGAATTAACTGCAGAATAGCTCAAGCCTTACCCACAATGCAGAAGGTGGCAGCAAAAGCCTCCACACAAGACAGCTTGCAGGGCTTGCCATAGTTCACTGGGTTGGCAGCAACCAAGTACGGTAGCAACCGAGGATGACTACCTATCATTTTATTGAAGGGTGTCTCCTCAAGTTTAGCCCAAGAGCAGTCAATGACAGCCAGTCCATTCTGAGCCACAATGTCCCTGAAAAATAAAGGAAAACACAGGACTCTGACTTCAACATCACAAATACTTGTATATACTATTGAGATATGCCCCAATAATATTGCTTAGAAATTGATGGTCGTGGTCGGTTAAACTTGTCCTGATCTCACAGACAGTGAAAGGGTAAAGTTATGATAAAATTATATCCAGCCCTTATCTATCAGTGGTAATGACGTGCTTAGGGTTTAGGCCATGTCAAAAGCATCACTCACCTGTCTGCTGGTGAGACATATTTGGTGCCCATGGGGCTCAGAATGAGTCCGTGGAACCTCTGGTTGAGGCGTAGGTTGTGAACAAAGCCTTTGCGGACCAGCTTTCTTCCTGTGCAGCGCTTTGGGTCGCAGTGGCCCAGCTCCCACATAGCCAGGGGGCAGGGCAACTTCACCTGGGCAGCCTCCCCTGCATCATCAGGCTGCATGCTGGCTGAAACAGAGAAAAACCAACCAAGTTACCAACCTGGTCTCAGAGCATTTCGTATTATTCTGTATGTAAATCCGAGAAGCTTCATTTAGTATGATATGTTACTTTTGGTATGGTTACATAAGACAGATGGTTACTGAAAGGGTGGTTGCTCGGGGTGGATGGGTAGGCGTATAATGTGAACATCTAGCAACCCAAAGGTTGTGAGTTTGAATCTCATCACGGACAACTTTAGCATCTTTTCAACTACTTACTACTTTTTAGCTACATTGCAACTACTTAGCATGTTAGCTAACCCTTACCCTAACCATTTTAGCTAACCCTTCCCCTAACCCTTTTAGCTAACCCTTCCCCTAACTCTGAAACTTCACCCTAACCACTAACTCCTAACATAGCTAACATTAGCGAGCTGGGTAACGTTAGCCACCTAGCTAGAATTCATAACATATGATACATTTAGCAAATTCGTAACATATTGTACGTTTTGCAAATTAGTAACAGATAATACGAATTGTAATTCGTAACATATCATATAAAACATATCATACAAATTAATACATACTTAATACATACCATACGAAACGTAACATATGCTAAATGGAGAGTCTCGGATTTACATACAGAATAATAAAACATGCTCTGAGACCAGGTTGAAGTTACATGATCACACACACACACACAACATGACTGGTTATCGGTATGACACATACTGTTTCGGAAGAGGCATACTGTACCTTGCAATGCACCATGCATCTCTTCTGTGAAACACTCAAGAGATTTCCCCTTCATCCTGTGTCGTTTATCTTTCCCCTTGTTCACTGGGCGCTCAAATTTACCCTGTTTCTTTCGTCCCATGGCAGAACTGTCAGACTCTCTCTACCTAATGTTAATTGACTCAAGAGGAAAAATGTGACAAATGTATTCGCTAACGTTACTTTACATAGATGGCTGCTGTAGTATCAAGCCAAACCTGACTTTGAAGCACTTGAATCAACTGGTCCAACAGAACATAAATAAACATCCAAGCAAGCTACCAAAATAACATAGAAAACATGTAATCCGCTCCTCTTGTATTGAGATTATATTGTGTCGCTTTAGTTGACTAAATGAAAGTATAAACAACCATTTCGTTCACTTTTCATGAGCTCAAACTGTACGGGAGGAAGGACTAACACGCAAGTGCAGACCGTGTATTTTGGTCAGCTGACTTCTTCCCATGTTTCCCTAATGGTCACGTGGCCACTACTGTAGGACAAAAAATATAGCCACAGATTATATAGCTAGCTAGCAAGATAGCTAGAGAAACGTAAACGCAAAGAAGCAAATGAAAGTCCACTAATCATGTATTATACATCGACTACAATACTACATTTACTATGGATATGTCTGCTCTGTCTTACCCTGCTGAGTAAGTATTTTTCACTTAATTAATGTACTCAAACAAAGCAGCATCTGTCGTTTCAAGGGTTCTTCCGGGTTAGGTTTTAGAGGCGCGTATGGCGAACTCAAACATTGTAACTAAAATATAGAGCAGTTATAACGTTAATATATACTTTTTTTTACGTTATGTGGCTCTGGATTTGATTTTACGTGTATATTCAGGATTAACACTGCTGACAAATGGTGTAGCTCAAATGTTTCTTACTTGTCTTTTTTAAATTAAAACTGCAATATGTATACTTTTTGGGTGACCCGATCAAATGCACATAGAAATGTGAGTTATAGCTCTGTCATTCTCATTGAAAGCAAGTCTAAGAAGTGGTAGATATGTTCTATATGCGCAATTTCTGTGCGTCCCGTGCTCAAGTTTCGTTTGTGCATCATCTTTTTCTTTCGGTTTTGTACACCAGCTTTAAACAGCTGAAAATACAATATTTTTGGTTATTGAAAATATATTTTACAGCGGTTTAGATAATACAATTGTACACAAACTGAAATTAGGCGAACTATTAGAATTTTAGCAATAATTTCACATGATCAATTACATTATCGATTGGTATCAATACACATGATTAGTTTTAATGATAAATTACTTACATTTCCTCCTGTTTTCAATCACTTCAAGACAGTAGCTTGAAACGTAGGCCATATTTATTCGTATTCATTTGACTTTCCATGTCCATTTGCAATAGTTGTAAAAAAAAATGTTACAGTACGCTATTCATTGACAGCTGGAGCCATTCTGCAAATGAGGGCGGCACCTCTTTTTTCCAATGCCTTAAAATTACCCTTTTAGCAATGAGAGTTAGTGTCCTAAGAATGGAAGCATTTGGTGTATTTTCTGGGAGTTGCATTACCAGCAAGATAAAGAGTGCATTTGTGTGTAGTCTGTTTTCTATTGCTCCTTGAAATAGAGAGAATATTATTTTCCAATATGCTTCCAATTTAGGACACTTGACCAACATCTGCACAAGCCCAGCCTCATCTGATATACATTTTCAACATTTGCTGTCAGTTGTCATTTTTGCCATGTGAATGTTTGAGTCCAGTAGGTTCTATTAATTATATTATACTGAACCATTTGTGTTTTAGACTCTGCATGTTTTAAAACAGTTTTTACATACCTTTTCCCATTCAATTCTCTATTTGCACATCATCTTTTGCACATCTATCATTCCAGTGTTAATATGAAAGTGTAACTATTTTGCACTATGGCCTATTTATTGCCTTACCGCCATAATTTACTACATTCGCACACTGTATATATATTTTCTGTTGTATTTTTGACTTTATGTTTTGTTTACCCCATATGTAACTCTGTGTTGTTGTTTTTATCGCACTGCTTTGCTTTATCTTGGCCAGGTCGCAGTTGTAAATGAGAACTTGTTCTCAACTGGCTTACCTGGTTAAAGGTTAAATAAAAAAAATAAAAAAATACTTGTATATGAATCTTTATCTTTACCTCATTTCTCTCTTAAGGGAAGTGTGTAGTCCCCTTGTTTTTCGTTAAAAATATTTATACACTCTTGATGCCAGGTGGTTTTTGGAATGGACATCCTTTATGAAACTTTCCAATTCGTTAAACTCATGTTTACATTTACATTGTTCAGGCAGTCAAGTCGGCATAAATAACAATCTGAATGATTCTAAAATGGTTGGTAGAGCCGGTCTTTTCCTTCAGTTAATTCAGATCCATAGTTTTACCGTCTTTATACAAATCCGCCACTGTCCAAACGCCAATCTGTAGCTAATCTCTCCACAATACTGGTCTGTGATTGATTGATTAATATGTGTGAATTGCTCCAGATGGTTGCTTGGAGAGAGGTACGTAAGGAAACTGCATATTTATTTCCAACAATTTTATGAACATTCCAAGAAGCATACATTTTTGGATGGCCTTTTAGATATTTGAGAAGTATTCCCTATGCTATCAATCTAAGTGGCATGGGGTGGGATATTTATTCAATTGCTAACCAAGAGGGGGGTTATTTTGTTGGGTAGAGCCAGTATACGGTTTGTCTTGTTACATATTACATGTAATATGTTTTAATATCTTGAATTGCCATACCTCCTTTATATTTTGGCATCATTAGTTTTTCAAGGTCAATGCAGGGTTGCTTTGAATTCCATATACATTTAATGATCTGTTCATTGATCTTCTTAAAAAATCCTTGTGGTAGATTGAGGCAACATGCTTAGTTTGTAATTGATTGTAGGAGCAACTATTATTTTTATTATTTCAGTTCTTGCTCGGAATGTTAAAAAGACGGAGGACCATCTCACAAAGTGTGCTTTAAAGGAATTCACAATAGCTTCTAAGTTCTCTTCAGTCTTCTTCAAATGTTTATAATTTTAGTGTGGATGCAGATGGTTTATTCTTGTTAAAATTCTTATTTTAGGCCCATATTCATTTGCTGGTAAAATGAAGATTGTTGAGGAACCAAATACATTTGGGTAAGTCATATTTTATTCTATAATTGTATTAAGATATGTTTCAAAAGTTAAATGTATGAAGGTATAACATATACTCATTCAGTCAGTGTAATGTGGTTCCCTCCTATTTGTCTAGGCTCAACAATCCCTTTTTGGCCCAAGGAAGTAGACTCCAGCCCAAGGTGACTCCAGGCCCAGTGTCAGGTAATAAGAATACGTATTACTTACTGGGTTAACTACATTATGGTCTGCAGACTGCAATTATATATTGTACAGGTATAGCAGTACAGATTGATACTTTCACCAACAGTGGGAAGGTACCGCAGTAGTTTGGTCTCTTTTCATTGTTGCTCAATAATAAAATGATTGAACCAAGTGGAACATATAATCCCCTAATACAGAGGTAAATGAAATCACAATACGTCACCAACTGGTTTACATTTGTGAAAGCAAAGGAGGAGACGGTGCTTCTAAAGTAATTATCTAAATCTGTCAACACTGGCAGATCATGTGATTTAATCAAGTATATACAGGTAACTGCCAAAATAAAAGAAACACCAACATAAAGTGTCTGAGTTTGTTCAGCGTTGTGTAGGCCGATTGACTCCGCCAGTAAACAAACGACACAACACGCAGCAAACACTTCATTATTACATCTTCGGTCGTCGTGGATCGTTAAAAACATCTGTAAACAACTGCTTGCAGTTCTGAACCGACCTGGATACTAAGGAGATCCTGAGGGAAATCGACGAGTATCAACAGCTTTATGCTATGGAGGAACAACATACTCCTCCATCTTGGAAAGATCCGGCTACCTCACAAAATAACTCTTAACCCGACAAAAAAAGAAAGACAGATTAATCTACAGAAAAGTTGTGTGAGGAGGTAGCAGGGCTGAGGGGGAGTTTGGAGTTTAGCCAGAGTGAAAATCTCACCCTCCTAGGAGAGAACAAGGCACTCACAGCCAAGGTAAAAACCCTCGATTCCAACATGGATTGTCTACTCAGTGAAAACAGGGTGATGAGGGAGTCGCTACTAGACATACAAACCCGTAGCATGCGTGAAAATCTAATATTTTCTGGGATTCCTAAGGACGCATCCAATAATCCAGAAGGGGCAATCAGTTCATGCAATCCGCCTTCATGCAATCCTCTAGAGACTGTAAACAAAGTGTCTTTCCACCGAGTGCACAGACTTCGATCTCGGAGCGACAAGACCAAAGGTCCCCGACCTATCATTGCAAAATTTGATAAAAAGCAGGGGAAGGGAGCTTAAAGGCTCAAAATTCGGTCTCAATGACCAATTTCCCCGGGAGATAAACGAACGTCGCAAGAAGCTGTATCCTGTACAGAGGCAACAGAGGGAGAGGGGTAAACGTGCCTTTCTCATTGTGGACATACTCTTTATAGACGGACAGCTCTTCTGAGACAGCTCCATAACACCATGGCTGTACTAAATTCTACGGGGATGTCAGGTTACGGAAGAAAAAAAGTATGGGAACTGTAAAAATATCTGAACACTGAAGTTGATATGAGCTCTTCTGACACACACTTAATCTCTCTCTCTTCTAGCACTCTCTCTTTCTCTCGCTTCTCTTCTCTCCCCTCTCTCTCCATTGTTGAGAACTTTTCCATAATGTTATGTTCTTTGTTTGTCAATCTTTTGTATGTCTTTGGCTACATGCTTATCTATGTTTACAACAAGAAATGGGAAGATATCAGAACAGGGACGTTGGGGAATAATAATATATTGTACGGGATATATTTGTACTGTAGTGAAGCCGTCTCTATAGTAATGCAAGGTCTCTTTCATGATCATGTGAAACGTCAATTGCTATGGAAATGCAATTATCATCCTCAATATTAAGGCTATACTCACTTCATGTTACACACATAGACACTCAACCATGCAAATTGGCTGGGCTATTATTTATTTGGACATCACACATTATAGTCTTACTCTTATCCAGACATCATACACACTCTCATTAAATCACATCCAATATCACACACATCAACCTACTCAGATCTACTACACACATAATATCTTGACTCAATTTTCTAACATCTGTGGCATTGGCTCACAGGCAAGGGAATAAAACAAATAGCTAGAACCTGTTTCTTGAATTCTAAATATCAGACATTTGAAATCTCTAATTTTGATAATACCTCTTATGGCAGTAACTTTACAAGCACTAATTATGGCCATTTTAGACTGAGAATAGTATCTAGTTATGGTAAGGGGTGAAATAAGTATAGCCAGTTATAATTGTAACGGTTTAGCGGATTATAAAAAAATATCACTCTTTACGTGGCTAAAATAAAAGGAATATAACATATACTGTTTACAGGAAACTCACTCTACATCCTTAGATGAAGTTGTGTGGAAAAAGGAATGGGGTGGTGAAATAATTTTCTGTCATGGACAAAGGAACTCAAAAGGTTTGATGATATTAATTAACAAACACTTCGATCGGAGTTGTGCAAATAGTCAGGAATGATTCGCAAGGAAGATAGATCTTTTTTAATATGAAAGTGGATGAAAAACAGATTTGGCTCATTAATCTATATGGTCCAAATCAGGATGATCCATACTTCTTCAAAAATATTTATACCAATTTATTGAATTTACAGGCAACAAATGATCAAATCATTATGGTGGGAGACTATAACAGTGTTAAGGACCTCAATGGACCATAAAGGAAATCACTCTACAAACTATCATCACCGTGCCCTTAAGGACATCACTAATATTATGGACACATTAGAAATAGTGGATATTTGGAGACTAAAAAACCCTGACCTAGTGAGATATACATGGAGGAGACTTAAACAAGCTAGTTGTCTTGACTACTTTCTTGTCTCTTTCTCTCTTGCATCAAAGGTTAAAGTATTAATAGGAGACAGAATGTGATCGGATCATCATCTAATTGGCCTTCACATAACTCTTATAGAATTTCCACGTGGACGGGGATATTGAAAATGTTATCAAAGTTTACTGGAGGACAATTTATTTTTAACTAAGACAAAATAATTTATAACTGCATTTTTCCAGTACAATATAGGTTCAGCAAATCCCCTTATTGTTTGGGATACCTTTAAATGTACCTTCAGAGGTCATTCAATTCAATATTCATCAATAATAAAAAAGCAGTTTCTGTCTAAAGAGACAAGACATGAACTAATATTACAGGTAGATAGCAATAAAAACTATACTACAGAGATACAAAATAAGTTAGAGGAAAACAAAAATAACTGGAGGAACTTATTCAAGAACAATCTAATGTAATCTATTACAAAAATAAAGCAAACTGGATGGAATATGGAAAAAATTCACCAAATTCTTCCTGAATCTCCAACATAGGAACGCTACCTAAAATAATTTGCAGAAACTCATTACTAAAGACGGAGTCCTCTATGATTCTCCAAATTATATTTTAAGAGGATGTTCTCTTCTCTGTCTAATCCTCACCCTCTGAATAACGATTACTGTAAGGAATTATTTCCAAATAATAATAAAAAAAGGAAAATTAACTAATGTACAGAAAGAACAGTGCGAAGGCCAAATTACAGAGGAATAACTTTTTGATGCTATTAAATCCTTTCAGGCTGGAAAAACTCCAGGGCTTGATGGCATACCGGTAGAGGTACAGTGGGGGAAAAAAGTATTTAGTCAGCCACCAATTGTGCAAGTTCTCCCACTTAAAAAGATGAGAGAGGCCTGTAATTTTCATCATAGGTACACGTCAACTATGACAGACAAAATGAGAAAAATAAATCCAGAAAATCACATTGTAGGATTTGTAATGAATTTATTTGCAAATTATGGTGGAAAATAAGTATTTGGTCAATAACAAAAGTTTCTCAATACTTTGTTATATACCCGTTTGTTGGCAATGACACAGGTCAAATGTTTTCTGTAAGTCTTCACAAGGTTTTCACACACTGTTGCTGGTATTTTGGCCCATTCCTCCATGCAGATCCCCTCTAGAGCAGTGATGTTTTGGGGCTGTCGCTGGGCAACACAGACTTTCAACTCCCTCCAAAGATTTTCTATGGGGTTGAGATCTGGAGACTGGCTAGGCCACTCCAGGACCTTGAAATGCTTCTTACGAAGCCACTCCTTCGTTGCCCGGGCGGTGTGTTTGGGATCATTGTCATGCTGAAAGACCCAGCCACGTTTCATCTTCAATACCCTTGCTGATGGAAGGAGGTTTTCACTCAAAATCTCACGATACATGGCCCCATTCATTCTTTCCTTTACACGGATCAGTCGTCCTGGTCCCTTTGCAGAAAAACAGCCCCAAAGCATGATGTTTCCACCCCTATGCTTCACAGTAGGTATGGTGTTCTTTGGATGCAACTCAGCATTCTTTGTCATCCAAACACGACGAGTTGAGTTTTTACCAAAAAGTTCTATTTTGGTTTCATCTGACTATATGACATTCTCCCAATCCTCCTCTGGATCATCCAAATGCACTCTAGCAAACTTCAGATGGGCCTGGACATGTACTGGCTTAAGCAGGGGGACACGTCTGGCACTGCAGGATTTGAGTCCCTGGCGGCGTAGTGTGTTACTGATGGTAGGCTTTGTTACTTTGGTCCCAGCTCTCTGCAGGTCATTCACTAGGTCCCCCCGTGTGGTTCTGGGATTTTTGCTCACCGTTCTTGTGATCATTTTGACCCCACGGGGTGAGCTCTTGCGTGGAGCCCCAGATCGAGGGAGATTATCAGTGGTCTTGTATGTCTTCCATTTCCTAATAATTGCTCCCACAGTTGATTTCTTCAAACCAAGCTGCTTACCTATTGCAGATTCAGTCTTCCCAGCCTGGTGCAGGTCTACAATTTTGTTTCTGGTGTCCTTTGACAGCTCTTTGGTCTTGGCCATAGTGGAGTTTGGAGTGTGACTGTTTGAGGTTGTGGACAGGTGTCTTTTATACTGATAACAAGTTCAAACAGGTGCCATTAATACAGGTAACGAGTGGAGGACAGAGGAGCCTCTTAAAGAAGAAGTTACAGGTCTGTGAGAGCCAGAAATCTTGCTTGTTTGTAGGTGACCAAATACTTATTTTCCACCATAATTTGCAAATAAATTCATTAAAAATCCTACAATGTGATTTTCTGGAATATTTTTTCTCAATTTGTCTGTCATAGTTGACGTGTACCTATGATGAAAATTACAGGCCTCTCTCATCTTTTTAAGTGGGAGAACTTGCACAAATGGTGGCTGACAATACTTTTCCCCCCCACTCTATATCAAGCCTTTTTTGATGTATTCAAAGCTCCATTGTTAGCTTGTTTTAACCACTCTTATAGAAATGGTAGTCTGTCAGGTACTCAGCAGGAAGGTCTGATTTCACTATTATTAAAACAAGACCCAGATGGCAAATATAAAGATCCAGTCTATCTATAAAAAAAAAATTGAGGCCTCTTATACTCCAATGTTGCGATGCAAAAATACTAGCGAAATGCATAGCACTCAGAATTTAAAAAGTTTTACCAGGTATCGTTCATCCTGATCAGACAGGTTTTTACATGGACGATACATTGGAGACAATACAGTGGGGGGGAAAAAAGTATTTAGTCAGCCACCAATTGTACAAGTTCTCCCACTTAAAAAGATGAGAGAGGCCTGTAATTTTCATCATAGGTACACGTCAACTATGACAGACAAATTGAGAAAAAATATTCCAGAAAATCACATTGTAGGATTTTTAATGAATTTATTTGCAAATTATGGTGGAAAATAAGTATTTGGTCACCTACAAACAAGCAAGATTTCTGGCTCTCACAGACCTGTAACTTCTTCTTTAAGAGGCTCCTCTGTCCTCCACTCGTTACCTGTATTAATGGCACCTGTTTGAACTTGTTATCAGTATAAAAGACACCTGTCCACAACCTCAAACAGTCACACTCCAAACTCCACTATGGCCAAGACCAAAGAGCTGTCAAAGGACACCAGAAACAAAATTGTAGACCTGCACCAGGCTGGGAAGACTGAATCTGCAATAGGTAAGCAGCTTGGTTTGAAGAAATCAACTGTGGGAGCAATTATTAGGAAATGGAAGACATACAAGACCACTGATAATCTCCCTCGATCTGGGGCTCCACGCAAGAGCTCACCCCGTGGGGTCAAAATGATCACAAGAACGGTGAGCAAAAATCCCAGAACCACACGGGGGGACCTAGTGAATGACCTGCAGAGAGCTGGGACCAAAGTAACAAAGCCTACCATCAGTAACACACTACGCCGCCAGGGACTCAAATCCTGCAGTGCCAGACGTGTCCCCCTGCTTAAGCCAGTACATGTCCAGGCCCATCTGAAGTTTGCTAGAGTGCATTTGGATGATCCAGAGGAGGATTGGGAGAATGTCATATAGTCAGATGAAACCAAAATAGAACTTTTTGGTAAAAACTCAACTCG